CTGTCAAATAAATAAATAAAATCTTAAAAAAAAAAAAAAAGAGAACCGAAGTATATTCCTCCATTTTCTCATCTGTTTAATGGGAATGTTAATGGTATCTACCTCGTAGAGTTCTTATGACAACTAAGTATGCAAAAGCAGTTAGAATAACAGCTAGCACATAATAAGCACTCAGTATATCTTAGCTATTATTATGGCTATCATAACTTCTCAGAACTTTGGTCTGATTTAACATAAGTTCTGCTGAACCTCACTTTGTAAGATAATAAAGGGCAGGTTTTCTTTTTTTTTTTTTAAGATTTTATTTATTTATTTGACAGATCACAAGTAGGCAGAGAGGCAGGCAGAGAGAGAGGGGGAAGCAGGCTCCCTCCTGAGTAGAGAGCCCGATGTGGGCCTCAATCCCAGGACCCTGGGAGCACTACCCAAGCCGAAGGCAGAGGCCTCAACCCACTGAGCCACCCAAGTGCCCCATTCTTTCTTTGCTTTTTTTTTTTTAAGGGCAGGTTTCCTAAAAGAATCACTCACTCTGGAGTGTCCTGAATGGATGGCACAGTTTATAGGCAGGGACTTGTACAGAGTTAGAGGCCAAGGAAAATCAGTAATTAAAGTTTGCAAACTGTGTTAATCGTTGTTTTTCATAGACCTTTATGGAGGCTGAGATGGTCAGTTGAAGAATGACTGTTTCTAAAGACTGCTAGCTTCTCAGTAGAAAAATGGCTTAAGAAATCCAGATTTAAATTTGTTAAAGTAAAAATGGAAGCTATCCTTTAGAACCTGTCACAGAGTTTACTCTGAGTTCAACAATTTTAGATCACACCAGGATTCTTACTGGAGGAAGCAGACTGGTGGGATTTAGAACCTACCAGTCCTCCTGGACTTGGTGGACAGTTGTAGGGCTAAAAGGCTGCCTTGGTGGGCTTGCCGTAATTGGGGTATCATAGCACTGAGCTTAGGAGCATGGGGTCTGTGGTTAGAGAAGCCTGCACGGGAGCCCTAAACCGGCCGTGAGCGTTCAGCAAGTTGCCTCGTCTTCACAGTGTTCGGTTCCTTGTCTATAAATCAAGGTACCAGCACCCAGTAACTGCGTTGTTGGAAGGAGATTTAAATAACAAAATGCAACTAAAATAATTAGCACTGTGTCCAACACATTGTTGGTAGCTCTCATTAGTGTACTTGAAAATAGATTCTGTGTGTAGCAATAGATCCTTTTCCAGAATGTGATCAGAGCAGGGCCTGGGAAGATTGAAAACCCTAGTCACAGTTTATTAAAATTGAGGATATTAGCCTCCTTGAGGTCTAGAGTTAGGGTCTAGAGTTCCTAAATCTCGTCTTCTTACTGGTTTTATAGTCAAGGAGGCAAAAGCATTTTTTTAAAGGATTGTATTTATTTATTTGACAGAGAGATCACAAGTAGGTAGGCTCTCTGAGAGAGGGGGGGGAAGCAGGCTCCCTGCTGAGCAGAGAGCCCGATGAGGGGCTCGATCCCAGAACCCTGAAATCATGACCTGAGCCGAAGGCAGAGGCTTAACCCACTGAGCTACCCAGGTGCCCCCAAAAGCATTTTTGAAAAGGTCTTAATTTTAAATAAATAGCATCTAGGTCGCCCTTTTGTATTCATTTTCATGTACACATAATTAACCTGTCCAATATTTTCTTTTCTATATTCTAAAGCCAAGAACTGGAAGGCCAGGCCCTAAGTTTGCCAAACATAGGGCTAATGCATTGAGCCAGTTAAAAAAAATCTCTTTAACCATGTTAAAACACATAAAAGTTAATTCAGAATATAAAAACTTAAGAGGAATAAAAAGAAGCACAAAAGACAAATGAAAAATTAGGATATAATAAAAATAAAGTATGATTTTTTTAACTTCACTTTTTAAAAAAATTTTAATTCTTGGGGCGCCTGGGTGGCTCAGTGGGTTAAATAAAGCCTCTGCCTTCGGCTCAGGTCATGATCTCAGGGTCCTGGGATCGAGCCCCTCATCGGGCTCTCAGCTCAGCCAGGAGCCTGCTTCCCTCTCTCTCTCTGCCTGCCTCTCTGCCTACTTGTGATCTCTCTCTCTCTGTCAAATAAATAAAATCTTAAAAAAAAAATTTTTTTTTAAATTCCAGTGTGGTCAACATACTGTGTTGTATTAGTTTCTGGTGGACAATATAGTGATTCAGCAGTCTCCTACATCACCTGGTGCTCCTCACAGGTGCACTCCTTAATCCCCATCACCTATTTCCCTCACCCTCTCCCCCATCCCCACATGCCTTCTGGTCAGTTTGTTCTCTGTACTTAAGTGTCGGCTTCTATGTTTGTCTTTTTTTCCCTTTTTTTTGTTTCTTAAATTCTGCATGTGAGCAAAATCATATGGTATTTGTTTCTCTGACTGACTTACCTCCCTTAGCATTGTACTCTCTAGCTCCATCCATGTTGTTGCAAATGACAAGATTTCATTCTTTTTGATGGCTGAGTAATATTCCATTGTGTGTGTGTGTGTGTGTGTGTGTGTGTGTGTGTGTGTGTGTACCATCTCTTCTTTATCTATTCATCCGCACTTAGACTGCTTCCATAATTTAGATATTGTAATTGGAGGTTCATGTGTCTCTTTGAATTAGTGTTTTAGTATTTTGGGGGTAAATACCCAGTAGTGTGATTGCTGGATCATAGAGTAATTCTATTTTTAACTTTTTGAGGAACCTCCATACTGTTTACCAGGGTGGCTACACCAGTCTGCATTCCCACCAATGGTGCACGAGGGTTCCTTTTTCTCTACTTCCTTGCCAACACCTGTTGTTTCTTGTCTTCTTGAGTTTAGCCATTCTGACAGGTGTGAGGTGAGATCTCATTGTAGTCTTGATTTGCATTTCCCTGATGATGATTGACGTTGAGTGTCTTTTCATGTGTCTGTTGCCCATCTGTAGATCTTCTTTAGAGAAATGTCTGTTCATGTCTTCTGCCCATTTTTAATTGGATTCTTTAATTGTTAAAGTATGACTTTATTAGTTATTTAATTTTATAAAGTGTAATTTTAAAAGGAGAAAAACTAGATTGAGTTGCACTTTTAATGAAAGATAAATTAAGAGTAGAAATGTTACAAAGGCAGGAAATAGAAGGCCAGAACTCCAAAAGAAATAAAATAGTGCAAGTTAGAACAAAATACTAAAATAGGGCAGAGCTACAAAGTTATAAGAGTTTTAAAAACAAGGTAAAAATATATCCTCCAAAAAGATAAAGACTAGATCCATCTGGAAGTAGGCGAGCGGCATGATCTTAAGTGGGTTTTCCAAGCTGGAACGATGTCCTGCTCAGGGTTCTCTGTCGAAGCTGCTGAGGGCAGGTTACCTGTTAATACGGACCACCTTTCACTCAGTGCTCCCGAGCCACTCATCTAGGTTGTTTACCTACTTCTATCATTCCTCCCAGGCGCTCTGTGTTGTAGGTATTGTTATCCCCAAACAGAGGAGCAAACTAAGGTTAGCCTAGGCTTGGTTTCACCTATGTTCGATCTTTTTCTGCCTTTCAGGAAATATTGCTGTCATCATCAACAACAGAGACAATAACAAAATCCCATGCCCTTTAATTCTTCCTGCTCACTGGGTCAAGATTAGCCACCAAATTAGGAGAGACAGCCATTCTTAGCAAACAGCCCAGCGATTGTAAACACGTAGTGGGTGCTCTGTGTACCTTAATAAACGTCCGGAGTGTTAGGTTTTTTTAGTATCGTTTTCCCTTCCTCTTTTTTTTTTTCTTTTTGGCACAAAGTTGATTCTGGTTATTCAAATATTTACCTCAGCTCAGTCTCCTAAATATTTCCTTAATGTGGACACTCTCCGTTGTCACTGCCACTACCAAGTTCAGGCCACCATCTTGTCTTTCCTTATATTAATTTCTCAGGGCGCCTGTAGCAAATGACCAGGTGGCTTAAAACAGCAGAAACTTATTCTTTCTAGTTGTGGAGGCCAGACATCCGAAATCAGTGTTGTGCCCAAATCAAGGTGTGGGAGCAGGACCGCTGTGCGCTCCAGAGGCTCTGGGGGAGAATCCATGCCTTGGCTCCTGCAGCTGCTGGCATTTCTTGGCTTGGGACTACATCAGTCCAGTCCCTGGCTCTGTGGTCACGGGGCCTCTCCCTCTGTGTGCATCAAATCTCTTTCTCTTACAAGTACGTGTGTTCGCATTTAAGGCCTCCCCAGATAACCAAGGGCGAACTCCCCATCTCAAGGTTCTGAACTTAATCCCAATTGCAAAGACTCCTTTTTATCATGTCAGGTGACATTCACAGGTCCCAGGGATTAGAGTGTGACTATCTTGGTGGGGGTGGGGGGTGGTGTCCATTTTCCAGTCTGCCACACCTCTAGACTTTCCCAGCCACCTCTCCCTTTTGTCCTCTGCTGGGAGCCCAAGTTCCTTTAAACATGCAGCTCTAATCCTGTGACTGCCTTGAAACTCCCAGCAGCTCCTTGGCTCTTGATGGCCTGACGACCTCTCCAGGTTCTTCTCCCCAGCTTCCCCCTTCACGTCCCACCACACAACCCCACCCCCATGTGTGTTCCTGGAGGAGCGGGTTCACTCCCACCTGGGTGGCCCCTCTCTCTGCCTCTTGTTGAGTGGTTCACTCCAGTTCGACATTCCATTCTCATTTCCCAAAGGACTTCGCTTCCTCTCCCCAAGCAGGGTTGGTGCGCCTTTTGTGTATCCCATGAGAACTCTGATCTTGATAGGGACAGTCTCCTGATCACATATGCACCCTGGGTGTTTCCTGCACCTGGCACAGTGCCTGACACACAGTAGTTGCTTAATAAATAGGCGTTGAGCCTCTTACCTTGCCAAGAGTAATACTATTAACAGAGAGCGCTAATCCACGCCAGAGAGTTTTCGCTGGGGAGGATTGTGTATGCGAATGCCAAAAGTTCCCACGGATCGTTATTTTTAAGCAGAAATCAAGTATTATGTAATTATGGGATCAAAGAAAACATTTTCATGCTTATTACATTCTGTTTTCTTTCAGGCCATTCCTGTGTTTCTCACTTTGCATAATGTAGCTGAAGTTATCCTCTGTGGGCACCAGAAGTGTTTTCGGAAAGAGGTAAATGGTAATGCAGAATGCTAGTTTCACTTCCTTTGCTTTAACTTTCAAAGATGCACCTTTTCTTATGGCCCAAATTAGTGTCTACCTTTTCCTGCCATCTGTTTCCTGATGGTGGTCAAGTCTGCTTGGCAGTTGTCCCTCATTTCAAGGATCATGTTTTTGACATCCCTTTGGTTCATCAGACGTATGTGGGGAGCTTGTGGATCTGAGTGGCACTCAGCTGCGTGGCAGAGCGAGTACCCTGGGATACAAGGAGGAGTTTACTGTGGGCAGAGGAGGAGTGGGGGTGGAGGGCAGCCTTCAAGCCCACAGTGTATCCCAGGGCCACCAGGAAATACACGGCAGAGCCTCACAAAGGGTGTTGGGAGCATCGGCCCACCCTGGGGGAATCCCCTTTGCTTCCCAGGTGACACCCAGCTCCCGGGGTTGTTGGGAGGACACAGCAAGGCACCCGTGTTAAGTGCGTCCAACAGTTTCTGGCCCACAGTAGCTGCTCTGTACATGTTTGCTGTATTTATTAACAGTATTAGTAGTGGTTTTAATTTGGTTCCTCTTTTGGGAGTTCTTTCTTTGTAACATCTGCCCTTTCGAAATGGTTTTGCCTACAGATCTGGAAATTTTCAACTAGAGAGGCTAGTTGGCCATTCAGGCAGCTCACTTCTTACAGGTGTGCAGGGGAGAGAGGTGTCCTTCCCATGGCTGAGGCCCCTCCACACGCCCATGTACCCTGTCACCCCTGCCTGCTCCTTGCAGGCAGCTCTGTGGATGGACTACTCCTTCTGTCCCGGAGAGCTAACCTCTCTCTCTCTCTCTGCTGCCTTTCTTCCCTCAGCCCCCAGACACTGCGTTCTCAGGCCCCCAAGGATAGAACAGGCCCTGGGAGACCCGCTCACAGTAGCCCAGCTCTGGAAGGCTGTTTCTAGAACCGTACCAGTGGGCTCCCTTGCCTGTGCTCCCCTCCACCTCTGCCCTGCCACTTCCTTGCCCACCCCCAGCACAGTGCCCAAGGGAGGGTTGGGTTCAGAGCTGTCCACGGCCTTGTGTCCCTCTCGCCTCCAGCCTGCTCCTTATTCTGCCTGCACCGTTACCCTGAAGTGCTCTGGCCAACGTCCCTGATGCCTGCATTGCTGCGACTCTGTTGGCCTTTTACACCGTTCATCACCAGGTTCACCGCTGCCTTCCCTTGAGTCTCTTGGCCCCCGTGACCTGCTGGTTCTCTCCCCCAGTCTATGGCTCCTCCTCCTCCTTCCTTCGTCTGCCCTACAGGGTCTCCCAGGGCTGTGGGTCAGGAGCCCTTTGTTCCCACGCACACACTTTCTGGACAGCCTCATCCACACCCATGGCAGCCTCCCTCTCAGTTCATGGGTGACTCCTGTGTCCCATGTCTAGCCCAGACCTCTCTCTTGAGCTCAGACCCCTATGGCTGCCGCCTCTGGCTCTCCCTGCAGCTGTCTCCCAGGCGTAGGAAGTGCAAAGGGACCAAACTGGAACTGCTCTGTTTTCACGACCTGCTTCTTAGTGATCTTGATCCTAGTCATCACTGCCCAAGTCAGAAACATAGGGGACCCCTTTGAGTCCTGGTCTCGTCATCCTTCCCCCTACACTCAATTTCTGAATCTGTCCCCTCATCTCCATTCCCACTCTGCTCCCATCTTGGGTCAGGCCCTCATCTGTTTTTTAGGGCTACCTGGCTAGGGGCCAAATGAGATCTTTCTCCCCTGAACCCTCAAGCAGCCAAGTAGGGCCCAGGGCGAGCAGTCCTGGCTTAGATGGTTATCTAATTGTGTTCTGTGCACGCCATCACCTGCCTTTGCCTGCCGGGTGTGCTGTGTGCCTGGCCGCTTTCCCTGCCTCTCCCCATGCTCCCCTTCCTCCACACTGCACCCAAGTGACCTTCTGAAACAGATCTGATCTTGTTCCCCCATGTACGTGGGAGCTGCCCCTGACACGCATGGAGGCGTGCAAAGATTCCATACACCTCAGGTTTTAGAAAATCCAGCCACAACAAAACTTCTCATTTTCCCTAGACCATGTCATGATGTGTTCTTTTCTGTGATCTGTCAGAGAACCTCTTCAAGCACCCACTCATTCATCGCGATTATATTTACGTACCTGTGTACACGCACACCGTGCCAGGCTCCGGGTCTCCAGTAGTGAGCAAAAGGCAACAAAAGGCATGGTCTGGCTGTTCTGGGCTGTTCTTAGGGAACATCAGCTGAGCACATTGTGACACCCACCCGCCGGATTGTATGGCCACAGAGTCCCCTACGGGGAAGTGACATTCAAACACAGACAAAAGCTGAGCAGGAGTTCAGCAGGTGGTGTGAAGGGGAGGGCTCCCAGGAAGAGGAAGCGGCAGATGCAGAGGACCAGATGTCGGAAGGGACTCTGCAGGCGTCACTCTGGGCCAGTGCAGCTGGCGTTTGATAAGAGAGAGAGGAGGGCTTAGGATGAGGCTAGAGACTTAAGACGAGACTTCGATGCTGAGCAAGGAATTTGGGGTGTATACTGCGTGCAGTGGGTGACTGGGGCTGGGTGTGAAAGGCCAGACGGACTGATCAGATTTACGGTGGGGGAGACAGGACTGCAGGTGAGAGGGGATGCGGTGGCAACTCTCGAGTTCTCACGAGGGAGGCCCTCGGTATTTGAGGTTGGTGTGCGTGCAGTTGGAGCCTGACACCTCGGACACCTTAAGGAGCATGAGCACCTCTCTCCAACACTTGACTCATCACATCACCTTGTGATTTCCATATTTCATTAATTCTAACATGTGCTACTTTTTCTCACATTAGAAAAATATTCACTATCTGCAGTTGGGATGCTTCTACAATCAGTGGTGTGCCAGGTCAAATGCTCTCTTTCTTAGTAATATATAAAGAATGGGGAATTTTACACTCAGGGGCATCTGAGGTTCAGTGCAATGAGGTCGGAGTTTCCCTGGGTCTCTGCCTGCTTCCTCTGAGTCCCCTCCTCTGCAGGGACCACGTGGTTCTTGTCTTTGTAGCCCTCGAGTCCAGCCCCAGGACCGCTGCCGAGCTGAACATTCACGAACTAGTCACTGAGCATCTGAAACTCCCCAAGATGCTCAGCTTCTGGGAGAGGGACTCTTGCTTCCTGTCTACAAAGTGAATATTTTTGTTGTGAATTGAAAATGAAGATTTACCTGGTCTGGGAAAAGATCCAGGCATCTCTGCAGGGTGTCGCCTCCCGACTGACCAGTGGGATCACATAGGCGAGGTTGAGTGTAGGAGACAGGTCAGAGCGTCCTCAGGGGTATTTCCATCAGGCAGAGACCAGGGGCCAGTCTTCCAGGCTGAGAGGACCTGTCCTTGGAAGAAATTGGATAAACCAGAATATTTTGAATCTTCATCTCCATTTCATCCCTAACACTAAACAACATCACTTTAAAAAAAAAATTTAATTCCAGTACAGTTAACATACAGTGTTATATTAGTTTCAGGTGTACAATACAGTGATTCAACAATTCTATACGTTACTCCGGGCTCATCATGATAAGTGCACCCTTAATCCCCTTTACCTATTTCCCCCATCCTCTACCCCCCTGCCCTCTAGTAACCACCAGTTTGTTCTCTATAGTTGAGAGTCTGTTTTTTGCTTTATCTTTTTTTCTGTGTTTTTGTTTGTTTATTTCTTAAGTTATACGTGTGGTAGTTGTCTTTCTCTGACGGATTTCACTTAGAATTACACTCTCTAGCTCCATCCACGCTGTCACAAATGACAAGATTTCATTCTTCTCTTTGGCTGAGTAATATTCTGTTGTAAGTATATACACCACTTCTTCTTCTTTTTTTTTTTTTTAAGATTTTATTTATTTATTTGACAGACAGATCACAAGTAGGCAGAGAGGCAGGCAGAGAGAGAGAGGAGGAAGCAGGCTCCCTGCTGAGCAGAGAGGCCAATGCAGGACTCGATCCCAGGACCCTGAGATCGTGACCTGAGCCGAAGGCAGAGGCTTAACCCACTGAGCCACCCAGGTGCCCCTACACCAGTTCTTTATCCATTCATCTGTTGATGGATATTGGCCTGCTGCCATAATTTGGCTGTTGTAAATGCCAATGTAAATGTAAAAGTAAAAAATGCTGCAATAACCATGGGGGTGCAAATATATATTTTTCAAGTTGGTGTTTTCATATTCTTTGGGTAAATACTCAGTAGTAGAATTACTGGATCATACGGTAATTCTATTTTTAATGTTTTGAGGAACCTCCGTACTGTTTTCCACAGTGGCTGCACCAGTTTGCATTCCCACCAGAGAAGCATGAGGGCTCCTTTTTCTCCACATCCTCGCGAGCACTTATTTCTTGTGTTCTTGATTCTAGCCATTCTGACAGGTGTGAGGTGTATCTTATTATGGTTTTGATTTGCATTTCCCTGATACCGAGAACATGGGGCATCTTTTCATGCCATCTCTATGTCTTCTTCGAGAAATGTCTGTCCATGACTTCTGCCCATTTTTAATCAGATTATTTGTTTTTTGGGTGTTGAGTTGTAAAAGTTCCTTATATATTTTGGATACTAACCCTTTGTCAGATGTGTCACTTGCAAATATCTTCTCCCATTCTGGAGGTTGTCTTTTAGTTTTTTGTTTTGTTTTGTTTTGTTTTTTTTTAAAGATTTTATTCATTTATTTGACAGAGAGAGATCACAAGCAGGCAGAGAGAGAGGAGGAAGCAGGCTCCCTGCTGAGCAGAGAGCCCGATGCGGGGCTCGATCCCAGGACCCTGAGATCATGACCTGAGCCGAAGGCAGCGGCTTAACCCACTGAGCCACCCAGGCGCCCCTGTCTTTTAGTTTTGTTGATTATTTCCTTTATAAACAATATCATTTCTTATCAAGGTAAATTAGGAAATAGTTGCATGAATTATGTACTTATTTAGTAATTTTTAAAAAACTCCTTTCTTTCCTTTATGAATGTAATAAACTACAGTAAGTTGTAGAACATGCAGAGGAAGAAAGTCCCAGAAATCAACTGTTATCTTACTTCGCACAGGATACTACTCTATTCTGTCGACTTTTTTCCAACATACATATGTATACATACTGCCACAAATGATATAACATATCCTATTTTCCACTGATCAATTTGTCAGGAATCTCTATTCATGTCCTCATTCTGCTCCACATGGAACATGATGTGTTGGCCAATCCCTGTTTCTAGACTTGCAGGTGGTTTCTACTAGCTTGGCATTAAAATCTGCTCTGTGATGATGATGGAAGATTGGCCATGACCTGTTCCCATAGGATTCACGTTCCTGATCATTTAGCCTGGAGCCTCAACAAAGTGACCAGATGTTACCAGGAGCACAGCTGTGTGACATCTCTTAGACTTCACCTGTCACTCACCTTCAGGCCTGTTTTGTCCAGCGTGTGTCAGTTTCACCAGGCTCCTCTCTAGAGAGTAAGGTTGGCCTTCTCAGGACCTTGTTCCCAGGTTATAAGGATAAGCTCTGTCTGGGGCTGTGGTTCGTGGTCACCATCCATGGCTCTTTGTGCTTGCACGTGCAAGCACATGCACATGTAGTCTGACTCTAAGGTAATATGGGGCTTATAGAATTAGTCTCGCTACTTTGCAAATAGACTTGTCACAGCTGAACATGAGAATGCTGCCATTCATCCTTTTGTTTGTTTGTTCCCCATTTATTAAGTCTACACTATGTATCAAACATCTGGCTAGGCCTGTGGCTGTGGAGCTCTACAGGAATCACTGATCAACTTCACAGGACTCAGCTAGGTGGAGGAGCCAACACATAAACACACACTGTGATGCCCATAGAATGCCATATGGGCTGGAACAGGGGTGTGGGTGGACCGGGGTAAGTCTGCTTATGAAGGGCCAGGGGCAGGATTTGAACCCAGTTCTGCGGCTGGTAGGAATTTTCAAAGTGCAGGGAGAAAGGGCACTAGGCAAGCAGAGGAAGCAGCAGGTGAAGGTAGGCGTCTGAAAGGGCTGGTGGGTGTCCCTGCAGGACTGGCCGGCTGGCAGTGGCAGAATAGTGTCATAAAAGGTCAGGCTCCGGGGCTAGATTACCGAAGCTCAGATCCTGGGGAACTTTGCTAACTTCCCTGGCCTTGGTGTCTGCCTCTGTATCATAAAACCTGAGATGTAAGTAACCCATAATGAAATAAGTCAATACACGTTGGGGCCTAGAACAACCCTGGCACAGAGTATGTTATCCTCAGAGGAAGTTAGCTGACCCCCCTGGAATGTTAGTTACTTATTGTTATTTTTGTTGATGTGACTTGAGAAGTTATACTGACCCTTCAGAACACTGACATATCACTAGGACTTACCCCTGGGTGACTTTCAGACTGAGGAGCCTCAAAAGGTGAACGCCTGATGTTAACTCCTGAGTTGTTTTCAGAGCCCCGGGAAGGGGAGCTCAGTAATGCGTTTAATGCTTGTTCTCATCTCCGTATCTCAGGTTCTGGAGGCGTTTACAATAAAAAAGCAGCCTTCCTCTGTGGAACGGGTGAACTCTTCTGGGCACTGTATTGATCTGCTACAGGGTGATGCAAGCCCCCAGATGGTTGCTGGGTGCACCTGTTACTACTCACGGACCAGCTGGAAGGTGCTCTTTAGCTCTGTCCTGTCTGTTCCTGCTTTTCTGCCTAGCTCTTGAGATGTTGATTGCCTTTAGCCCAGAATCCTTTATTTTTTTTATTTCTTTTTAAAAATTTTTATTTTTTTATTAACGTATAATGTATTATTAGCCCCAGGGGTACAAGTCTGTGAATCACCAGGTTTGCACACTTCACAGCACTCACCATAGCACATACCCTCCCCAATGTCTATAACCCAACCACCCTCTCCCTTCCCTCCTCCCCCCAGCAGCCCTCAGTTTGTTTTGTGAGAGTAAGAGTCTCTTATGGTTTGTCTCCTGATCCCATCTTGTTTCATTTATTCCTTTCCTACCCCAAGCCCCCCACGTTGCCTCTCAGCTTCCTCATATCAGGGAGATCATATGATAATTGTCTTTCTCTGATTGACTTATTTCGCTCAGCATAATACCATCTAGTTCCATCCACGTTGTCGCAAATTAGCCCAGAATCTTTTAGTGACACATTTTCCCACCATGGGGCACTTCTCCAGGTGCCCTGAGCCAGGTCACCCTTTTGGGTCATCCTTTCTGTACTGTAGGGATGGGCTTCCACCAGGTGGCAGTGGAGTCAAGGTTGGCACCGCCAGCTGAGGCAGGTTCCACAGCGATGAGAGGAAAGGAGTTAGAGCTGCAAGCCACTGCTTTGCACACAAACAGGATCTATTTATGAAAACAATGCAAACGGGATTATTTAGTAATGCATGAAAACTGAATATGGGCTTCATAGCAAACCAAGTTACCTTTTCAGTCTCCGCATTTTTAAAAAAATTGTCGCGGCCGGCGTGACAAATCGACCAGGAACGTGAGGTAAGAGGATGGTGAAAAGAAATTAAGAGACAAAGAGATGGGGGCAGGAGGAGCACTGAGGAGGATGTCCAACAGTGCCGATTTTATTCCACATCTTACAAGCATTTATAAGGCAGACCACAATAGAAGGAGTAATACATCAGTACCTAGTCAGATAACCGCAAGTTCCTACTACAAACACATCTCGTGATGCCAGATAATCACGGCTAATGCCATTAGCTACTGTTGATACAAGAAGTTACAATCAACCAGGGAGTGGGTTATGGGAGGTACAGGAACAACAAGGACCAACTAAGAATTCATGACCCTGACCACGTTATTCCCTTCTGTAGGGAGAGCGTGTGGGAAGTCATGTAGGCGAGCACACAACACGTAGCTCAGACCCTTTCTCAGTGTTACTCAACTTTCCTGTCCTTAACCCCTTATCAAGGCGTCCGGACTTTAAAGGAGACACAAGTCAGGGCCTGGTTTGATCCACGACTCCAACCATGCCGTAGCCTCCGACAAAAAATGAAGATACGATTGACCTATAACATCGTATTTATTTCAGGTGTCAACATAATGGCTTGATATTTATATATCTTGCAAATGATCACCATAAGTCTAGTTAGCATCCATCACCATATGTAGTTATAAAAATTGTTTTCTTCTGGTAAGTACTTTCAAGATCTACTCTCTTAGCAACTTGTGAATCTGCAGTATAGTATTAGTAACTCTAGTCCCTGTGCTGTACATGACATCCCCAAGACTGGGGGATGTCTTTTGTAACTGGAAGTTTTTACCTTCTGAGTGCTTCATTTTTATTTTTTTAAAAGATTTTATTTTATTTGTTAGAGAGTGAGAGCACAAGCAGGGGGATTAGCAGGCCGAGGAAGAAGCAGTCTTCCTGCTGAGCAAGGAGCCCAACATGGGACTTGATCCCAGAACTCTGGGATCATGACCTGAGCTGAAGGCAGATGCTTAATCAACTGAGCCACCCAGGTGTCCTTTGAGTGCTTCGTTTTTAAACGCTATATTCATACCTCACTTTTTTTTTTTTTAAGATTTTATTTACTTGACAGAGACACAGTGAGAGAGGGAACATAAGCAGGGGGAGTGGGAGAGGGAGAAGTAGGCTTCCGGTGGAGCAGGGAGCCCGATGTAGGGCTCGATCCCAGGACCGTGGGATCATGATCTGAGCTGAAGGCAGACGCTTAACGACTGAGCCACCCAAGGACCCCATTCATACTTCCCTTTCAAGAGTTAGAGTCAAAAAGCTGTAGTTTGGGGGTGCCTGGGTGGCTCAGTGGGTTAAGCCTTTGCCTTCGGCTCAGATCATGATCTCAGGGTCCTGGGATCAAGACCCTCGTTGGGCTTGCTTCCTCCTCTCTCTCTCTCTCTCTCTCTCTCTCTGCCTGCCTCTCTGCCTACTTGTGATCTCTCTCTGTCACATAAATAAAATATTAAAAAAAAAAAAAAAGCTGTAGTTTGTCCCCAACTAGCAAAGTAATCTTTTTGAAATATCCAGAATTAATGTTATTTCCTCTACCAAATATAGAAACATCTGTGCTTCTTCGTGCTATAACTTTATACATGAGTGCAAAGAACTAATTCCTGTAAAATGGCTAATAAAAATGATGGGCCACCTGGGTGATTCAGTCGATTGAGGATCCAACTCTCGGTTTCAGCTCAGGTCATGATCTCAGGGTTGTGAGATTGAGCCCTGCATCGGGCTCTGGACTGGGCATGGAGTCAGCTTGAGATTCTCTCTCTCCCTCTCCCTCTGCCACTCCCCTCACCTGCTGCTTATGCTCTCACTCTCTAAATAAATTAAAAAAAAAATTTTAAAGACTAATAAAAAGGAGAGAATAAAGGTAGGGCCTGCATTAGAATGTCTTCATTTCGGTGCCTTTTAAATGCCAAGTTTAGATTTCCCCAATCTGCCCTTTCTCTCTCTCTAGGGATGGAGCCAACTGTCCCTTCTCCTTTTTCCTGTTTCTTTATTTGTACATCATCCCAGAGAACTTACAGCACTGCTCAGAGTCAGGGCTGGATCAATGAAAAGCAAATGTAAGGAGGCAGACTGGAATAGAAACTGAACGAGAGCTTGATTTCTCTTCTTCCACAGGTCTCCATCGATTTCTCTCTCTCCCTTTCTTGGTGTGTAAGATATCTGAAGGCTTGGCCCTGGCCTTGTTTTGGGGTTTTGTGAATAAACCCAGTTCTACGGGTGAGGGTAGAAAAACCACACACCCAGAGTTCTTGCCCAAGTGACTCAGCTCTGGACCTCTGAGCCATCCTTTGTGTGGTCCAAGCAGAAAAAGCCTCCAGAAATACCAAGGTGCAGCCAGCTCTTAAGCCCCCATTAAGCTTACTCAACATTTATTTGCCTCTTGATCTAAATATTTTCTTTTAAGGGGAAAAAGAGGATTTATGCAGACTAACTATAAGTCTCTTTTATTTTCATACAGAAAACTTCTCCTGCAAAGATCTGTAGGTAAGTTAACAACAACAACCCACAGCCCTCTAAAATAGAAGATTTAACCTGATTTTAAATGATGACAAATGATTAGAGATTCCTATTTGAGAGCTGACAGAATTTATTATAAACAGTTAAATACCCCTGTTTTGTGTCTTTTGCTAAATTTTACTATCTCTTTCTTTCTCTGTTTTTTTTTTTTTTTGTTGTTGTTGTTGTTGTTTTGTTTGGTAATATTCTGTTCCTAAGGGGAAAATAACCCATGCTTGATTTCAGTCACTGATGCCCAAAACTTCACTAAGAGTTGTGCAATACTGATGGGAGAAGGAAAATGGAAAACATGGAAAATGACTTAAAATGCTTACAATCATGTTTGCACTTTATTGGGTTTCTATGATTCCCTTGGTGGGACAAGCACTGGCCGCAGGGTCAGGGATCTGGGTCGTGGTCTTGGGCCACAGCAAGGCGACCAAGGACAGACTTCATGGCCCTTTGTGCCTTGTTCCCTCGGCTGAAACTCGAGCTGGGCTGGACTCTCGGGCCGGTCCCCACACCCTGTTATGTGCTAACCTGTAACCCTGTTCTCTAGCTGCTTCCGGCCTCCTTGGCTATAGCTCTAAAGCTCAGTCGTGAGGATAGAAAACCAACAGAAATGCTTTGACACATGGATTTAGGACTTTTTGTTTCAAATATTTCTGGGCTTTCATCCAGTCTCTTATTTTGCCTTTATTACAGGCTGCTACTTGGAAAAAGAAAAACACAACACTGTCAGGACTCATCCTCTTGTTTAAAAGATTAGCAGGTGTTAAAGAGAGGCATTAAAACCCACTAATACCTGATATAATCAGGTGTTGCTCAAGGCCAAGTTTGGTGGGAAACCAAACAATGTCTTCCACCTGGCTGTTCCCCATCTCCTCTCAGCCCCAAGGGCTGTCTGTGTAAGAGGACCTCTAACATGCATTGCCTGTGGATGGGGAAGTGTCCTGTAGCCTATAAAGCCTTCTGCTGTAGGTAGACACCAAACCTATTACGGTTCTCCTCTCCTCTCCCCACCTAACACCTGCCTAATTCTGTGAAGTCCCAGAAACCCTTCCAGCTGCCTCCCTCCATTCACCCCACCCTTTGCCTCAGAGTCCCTTGACAATCTGCTGCCTTGGAGTCTTCTGGAGGCCCTTTGTGTGTGCACCGTCAAAGCTGGTGAGGCTGTAGAAGGAGGGCAGGCCAGAGTGGAGGACCTCCTTGTATCCCAGGGTGTCCCGTGTTGTGCTGACCTTCCAGGGCTGTGAGGTCCCACCTCTGAGGATTCCCCGTACTGGTTCCCCTGCCCCAGGCCGCCGGCCACACGAGGTGGGTTCTGCATATTGGCAGGAATGCCACGGGAGTGATGTGGCCGTCTTGGTATGTTGTATCAGGAGGCATATGGAACACACCTGTCCCATCACTGGAGATGTTCAGGTTGATCATGTGGGGAAGGTAAAGCATAAAAGATTTTAACATGCATTCCACGGCGTTTCCTTTTTCCTAAGTGGCAGAACTGCAGTCTGATTACCCAGTTTTTGTGCATTTGGGGGGACCTACGGTTTAGAAAATTTCTTATTACCTGGTTCACGGGCATCTTGTTTTTCTCAAGCGAGTTAGCTGTGGTTTTGCAAATGTCCTGCAAGTAAGTGCCCATGTCTGGGGATGAGGCCAGCTGAGCCCCAGGGAGGGAACTGTCTGGTCCCCAGGGGGGCATGCAGTGGAAAACTGCACAGGTAATGGGGTTCTCAGAGGAGGGAAGGGCACGGGGTGGAGTCTCACAGGGGCTCAGCCTCAGGCTCGATCCATTCCATGTGTTTCAGCCCCCATGCTCTCTGGGCAGCCCTTTGATACTGAAAAGTGAAGCTGCCTGTTTCATCTCTCTTTGCACAGTGCCCTCTTCCTCCTGGCTGCCGCAGGATGCCTTCCCTTCAATGACCCCCAGGTAAGTTCAAGGGCACTCATTTTGCCTTCCAGGTGTCTTTTATGGTCTGAAGCTTCTGTGTATGAGCAGAACTTCCTAGTCCTTCTTTTGGGAATCAGAAGAACCCCAGCCTCTGCAAAAGCTAGGTGCCTCTAGGCCAGGTCAACACCTTTTCCGCAGGTCTTCGCCTTTTCTTCAGGGCTGTGGCAGCTTGGTGGAGCTCTGGGCTCCGCGGGCCATGGCGGGTGCCATTGGCCCTCTGTTTGTGCTTGGAGGACCCACAAGTCCCGACCCAAATTGCCCTAGCCTCATGTACTGAGGTGATGTTGATTTTCCCTTTCATCCCAAGGGCCTCATCTGCAGAGTGATTTTCACTTTGTTACCCTGAGTTTTTCCTTATTAGGCCCTGAGGACCCGCCTCCTCACCCCGCCCCCGTAGTCATCTTGTGGTGGGTCTGTCTTCTCTCTTTTCTCCCCCAGCAGTTATTAAGTCCCCATCAAGTGTCAGGCACTGAGCCAGGCTCTGGGGACACAAAGAAGAATTGTCCTCATCCAGGCAGAAGTCAGAGTCTAGTCAGAGCAAAGGAGAGGAGGACAGACAAGAAACAGATAATTATAGCATGGGGAGGCCAGGGCTCTGTCGTGGGGAGATAGGGATGCCATGCGGCACCTAAGAAGACTCGGGGGACCAGGGAAGTGGGAAGAACTAATGATTACAGGAAGCCAGCTATGTGCCAGGCTCTGGGCCAATGCTTCATGTGCTTTATTTTATTCAAAATCTAGCAGTTGCCCAAGGAGGACTCTTACTGTCTCCATTGCATAGCTAAAGAGTAACGAGGCCACCACGTCACCAGCTAGTGAGTAAGTGGGGATCTTTCTGATGCTAGAGCCGGACTCTGCTCTCTAGACCTCAATCTTGGAGGGCGAGGAACAGATGGCCAGAAGAAGAAAGCAGTTGTGGGCACCGTCGTAGAGGTGTCCTGCCTTTCTGGGATTCAGCTTTAGTGAGCACTATGTGCATGCCCCTCTGTAAATTCCTGCCCTTCTGGAATTTACAGGCTAGTGGATGGTGGAGAAAGAGACAGATGATACATGAAACAGAATGTAGTAAGTGAGATAAACTTCTACAGAGAAAAATAAGGAGGGGAAGAAGAGAGGGAGTGCACCTCAGCTGAGTTGGTAGGGGAAGCATTCGGGCTTGGGGAGGTGCAAGTTCTTCCTCTGGGGGGCATGCAGTAGATGGGACTGGTGGGGTTGACAGGGGCTTGTCCTAGAGATCCTTGAGTGCCATGAGTTTGGATTTTATCCTGAAGTACTGAATGATTTTAAGCAGTAGGTGACACCATCTGATTAGGCTTTTAGCGACACTGTGTGAAGGCGGTGTGGAGAACAGGAAAAAGGGTGCTGGAGGCAGAGAGCCCTATTAGGAAGATATCATAGGCATCGAGGTGAGAAATGAGGATGGACTGGCCAAAGGCCGCAGATTCCTGTCATGGCAGCCTTGCTTGACACCATTCACTGACATTTAGGGTTTCTGATGACCACTCTGGGTCCTGTTTGTCCCTATTTGTAGCCATTTTATTATTATTATTTTTTAAATCCTGTGTTACAGTTTGATCCCGGTGGATATTTCTGGGCTGTAATTCACTCATTCTGCGTAGGTAAGTTTTAAAAGAACGCTTACTTAAATCATTGAGGCTTATTATTTAGACCTTATGATATATCCACTTTTCGGAGACCTTGAACGATAGGAAGATTACAGACAAGGCAGGCGTCAAGGTTAAACTTAAATGGGCATTTTCTTATCTGATTTTCCTGTTTGGGAGTTTTCCTCAAATATTCCCATTTCTGATATAGTCTCCTCTTTTTCTCAACAAACGTTAATAAACTCACCACGGCTCTGGCCTGCCTGCTCACGTCTACTTGAGAAACGCTGGTTGGTCTTTAAAAATGGTGAGAAGAGATCCAGAAGTTTGTGTCAGAAACACTGTCCTTCAGCAGCATACCCAAAGAGAGGGAAGCGGGGGAACTCAGAGGGCCATCTGACTTCATTTCCAGTCATCTGTTCAGTTTTTCCTGTCTGGAGTCTTAGGGGGAGCAGGGCCCTGCTTTGGCTACACACGGTTCAGAAATGCCGCGTGTCCCTTCCTCCCGCGCACCTGGCAAAGGAAGCTGAAACCTGTCTGTGAACTGTGTCCTTCTGCTGATCACGAGCCCTCCCTGCCCAGCCCTCTCTGTACTGAACAGTCATCACAGGGGATTACTGTACTGGCATCCTGGGCTCCCCCCAAGAGCGGTGGTGCCACCCCCTGTCGGTGGGGTGGGGGTGACCCTCTCCGGAAGAGCTGCCCTCGCCCTTGTGGTTTTCGTGCTTCCCCGCGGGTGCGGGCAGCCCCTTACACAGAAAGTCCTGTGCCAGTAACACATGCTGCTTCATTTTCAGGGGCATATAAGATACTGCAGAAGGCCTGGAAACCCAGTGCGCTAAGGTAAACCTTTTCCGGTGTGGTGGGTTGTTCGGTTGAAGCAAAGGGGTGAGACCCACGGTGTCGTGAGCTTGTTCTGTTCAGCTGGCGACTCTGCCGGGGGCCCTCAGGGCCATCTCTCCTGCTGTTGGGCCCTTGCATGCGGGCACCACCAGCACCTGATCCTACCCACCGTCAGCAGTGGGTGAAGAGCGGGGGGGGGGCCCTGGCCTCTTCCTGCAGGGGCAGCTGTTCAGATGACATTTTTATAAAAATTACATGACCCGCTGCTTTGGGGCCCCAGTTTACTTCTTCCAGCTCGGAGGCCAACTCTTTTTTCTTGTTTCTTCAGCCCCTTCCTAACTTGACTTCATTCAGACCCAGAAGTTCCCCCAGGCCTGAGCTCTGTGCTGGGGTAAAATGAGAGCTCTGTTGCTCAGTGAACTCACCAGACGACAGACAAATGTCAGTGAAAGAGAGAGGAGTCCCGGCATGGGATGGCCTGCAGCTGGGAGATTCAGAGGCCCCGGACTGGCCCCCTGGCCTCTGGGTTTTTGGGGCCAGCAGAAGGACGCCTGGAAGAAGATTATACTCTCAGAGGCAGTGACTTTTAGTCCTTAGAACACCTTTTGTTCTTTTAGTGAAGGGCTTCTGTAGCAAAAAGCCAGCAAAGTTGCCAGATAAATATAGAATGCCCAGTTAAATTTGAATTTCAGGGAAGTAGTGAGTCCTTTTTTTAGTGTAACTATGGCCCATGCAATATTTGGAATATACTTGAACGCGATTCTTTATATGAGATTCAGATTTATTTGGGTGTCCTGTATTTTTATCTGTCAAATATGGTGGCCCTGGGAGCCAGCCAATGGCCTGAGAGACTTGACTCTCCTTTCACAGTGGGAAATGTACATGTAGGAGATAATCTGTCACAGGTGAAAGTGTTTGTAATAACTATTAACTAGGACGTGTTTTTTTAAAAACAAGCCAGGAACAAGTTTTGAATATAAAGTATACTTCATACAATTTATTGACAATTTTTAAATGTAGAAATTTAACCATAGATATAATTTACTAGAATATAATGCCTCTTTTGTGTATGTAAAACACTTCTGTTATTTTACATGTCTTATCTCTCTTTTTTTTTTCCTAACTCCTTAGCGACATTGACCAGCAGTACTTAAACTATATGTTCAGGTAAAATATAACTTACGTTTTCAAGAAACAACTTATATCTTTCTAGAGCTAATGGATTTTTAGTTCCCAATAATATTTTGATTAGAGAGTTCTGAGCCAGGGTGCCCACCAGAGAGGCAAGCTAAATAATTTGTGAGATGACTAGAAGTTGAGAAAACCAAATTGTAGTTCTGTCCGTAGACCAGGCAAGAGGAACCTCTTTCTGGCTCCAGAGTTCAGAAGGCCATGCCTTTCCCCATAGGTGCTGAAGTCTGTAAGGCTAAGGGGACATTTCTTCCCAGGGCCCACTCCCTGTAGTGTGTGTGTTTTTTGCAGCTACATGTAAGGCCTGTCTAACAAACCCACGACTTCTGAATGACCCAACATTCTCGCTGCCTTTCTCCTGACCTTCCTCTCCTCCTGCCTCTTCGCATGCGCCCCTCCTCTGAGCCATCAGAGAACCTGCACTTTAGGGGCAGAACAAAGGAAGAAATTGAGAGAAACTGAAATGGTGCAAGGAATTAATCCCGGGGTAGAGAGGGGGCAGCGCTTTCATACTAACAGTGGCTTCCCTGTTCAAACTGTCCTCCACACTGCCTATAATGTCACCGACTAGAGACTTTGATGGTTCTCCATCCTGGTGCCCTTGAGCCCACCCAGAGGTGTAATGGAGTAAAACAGCTGATGCCCGGATCTTGCCCTTAGAGAGCCTAGCCAGGGTGTTGGCTATTCTGATGTCCAGCCAGCATAAGGACCAGCGTAGGTTATCTGGCATTAAAATTTTTAAAAATTCCCTCCTATCCTTGGATAAAAAGTTGTATTCCTAACCTCTAGCCAGATAGCTGGCCGGGCAGCATGGAATTGTGATGGAAGAAGGTGACCCTGGGGTGACCTGGGGCAAAGTGAAGGTGCAGTGGGCGGGTGCTTCCTGGGAGACGGGAGAAGCTTCCAGAGAAGAAGATGGGAGAATACCAAGGACCAATAGGGCCAGTGTCAGAGGAACACTCCTCCTCCTCTTCCTCCTTTTCGGCTTCTATTGCCCATCAGTCCAGGTAGTTTCTAGGCACATGGTGGGTGAGATCGATCATTCTGTGGGAAATCTAGCTTATCTTCTACAGAACTAATTTTATGGTAAACACACATACCTCATGCTCAACAGCTAGTTTTTCGATTGCAGCCAATCTATAATTGAGAGTCTGCTTTGTTGAGCTTACGCATACTCTTGGCAGATTAGGTGAGCATACTCTTGGCAGATTAGGCTACACGGCTGGCCTTGGAGTGGGGTGTGGGTCCTCGGCCCATCACAGGGTATGGTCAGCCCCCTTGCCCAAAACCGAGGCATCTCAGGAGATCTCACCCTCTCACTGATGAGTGAGACCATTCTCTGCAGATAATCAGCTTTTAGGCAGATTTCACTGTTTCTGAGCAGAATGGGCGGAAATGCGTGTTGCTGTTTTCTCGGTGCTGGGGGAAGACTTCTTACTGCTCTGCTCTTCTGTTTTCAGCGTGGTGCTTCTGGGACTTGCGTCTCATCCCACAGGTAAGTCAGTTTGTTTTCTGTGGCCCATTCAACCAGCGCTGTGACCCGGTTGTATCTCTGAGGGAGATTCTGTGAGAGAGCGTGGTTTGCCTGCCAGGATGGGAGCTCCGGCGTTAGGCATGGCCCACGTGCTGGAAACTGGTCTCAATGACCCCTTGTGGATCCATTGCCCATGAATTTATTCTTACCCCTTCTTGAATTTTGTCGTCTTTGTTTTCATCTGGTACAGCCTCAGCTGTCCAGACAGGCTTGTTATCTGCTGGATAAACTAGTGCTCACGTTCTCTTTTTCTAAAGTTCCTTCTTTAAACATCCAGAATTGCCTCAGTCCTAGTGGGAAAGGATTTGGTGGAAAAGTTCAGATTCACCCTACAGCCGACTGACATCCTTTCGTACATTTTTATCATACGCGATCATACGATAGTCATCATTGCAGAAGAAGGAAGTCAAATTTTAAAGCTTACCTTTGCCCTGTTGGCTGCCTTGATTATTTTACAATTGTTTCCCAGATTCAGGAATCGCCTACAATACTCTGTTCCATTGTGGTTTTTTACTCTGAAAGGTTTTGAAGTTGATGCCAAATGTCACGAAATAGTATCCGCGTGCGGTATGGCTGGAAATGCACATTTCATCAGTCAGGCTCCTTCAACCCATGTCTGTTGGCCGTTTGCTGGGGCTTAAGGCATTTCCCAAGCCCTCAGAGTGTCAGTTAAAATGAGAAAGGTGAACTGGCTTATTTCTAAAGCCCTTTCTAGCTCCCGTTGTGCCCAAAACGATGACAGCTTTCTGCTGGTGCCTTTAGCTGTTTCAGATTATTTGAACTAGTCTCCCAAGGAAACTGTCAGTAGCGACGCAGTGTTTCTTGGTCGTATCTGACCCATCTGAACCTGTGTCTCATGAGGATACCTCGAATTTCTTTTCTCAGAGCCTTACTCCATACTTTCCCACAGTGATGCACACCTGCTGTTTTCTGCCCATTCCCCCAGCCTGGGGCTGTCTCCCGACTATGAGGTTTGCTGTTGAGTGCCCTCTGCACACTCGTGTTGAAAACCTATCCTCAGCAAAACAAAAATCGTATGAAACCCATGATGTGAACCCTACCCATTTCCCCTCACCTGTGCCACAGCTTCTATGCCTTGGCGCGTGCCTCCTGTCATTCTTTCATGCCGTCAGGAGGTTGCCGTCCAAGAGATACTCACAAGCCCCCGAAGCACCCTCCCCCTTGCAAAGCGGTTTTGGTCAAAGCCTTTGGAAAGTTCGCTGGTTCTCCTCGAGCTGCATGCTCATTTGCTTCCTGTGGAATTAGTGGTGGACTTGGGTGACTAATTCTCACGTAAAGAAATCACTCTGCCTTTCAACTAAGAGGTGATGCTTGTTTTTTTGTTACTCATGATTCTCAGAGCTGGAAGGAGTCTTAGTGATTATCCGTGTTGCCACCTCCTTTTGCAAATTGGGAACTTGAAGCCCGGAGCAGTTAAGGGATGTGGCCAAGGTGGAGCAGGGGAGGCGAGTAGCCGAGAAAGACTGGAATTTAGGTCCTGACCCATCTCCCAGGTTTTTCTTTTTAAATGCTTCTTTTTTCAGGGATCCTGTGGTTTATTAGAAAGTCTCATGAGTGAGTGAATACTTAAATACGATTTTTAAAAATTTCCTCTGAGAGCTTCTCTTGGATTTTGTTTTTACTTTGTTCTGTTTTTGAGAGAGAGAGAATGTCTGTGCATGCACACATTTGAGGGGCCAGGGAGCAGAGGGAGAAGGAGAGAGAGAATCTTAAGCAGGCTCCAGGCTCAGCACAGAGCCCAGTGTGGGGCTTGAACTCACAACCCTGAGATCACGACCTGAGCGGAAATCAAGAATCAGACACTTAACCGACTGAGCCACCCAGGCTTCTCTTGGTTTGAGGGGCATTTGTCTACCAGTTTCTGAGCACAGGGATGCAAGTAATAGTTTATACAGTTTGGCCACCATTCCCACATTTCACCTTGAGTTACTGCTAAACTTTTAGGTTAGTGCAAGGATATACTCTCTGGGCACACAAAGTGGTCAACAGCCTATGGTCATAGAATGGCCTGGGCAGAAGAGTAATTTAAGATAGGCCCCTGATTCTTTTTGAGGTGATGAAATGTTCTGGAATTCGGTAGTGGTGATGGTTGTACAACTCGGATAATATGCTAAAAACTACTGAATTTTTAAAAATGATTTTATTTCTTTATTTGACAGAGACACAGCGTGAGAAAGAACAAGCAGTAGGGTGGGAGAGGGAGACGCAGGCTTCCCGCTGAGCAGGGAGCCTGATGGGGGGCTCGATCCTAGGACCCTGAGATCATGAGCTGAGCTGAAGGCAGCTGCTCAACAACTGAGCCACCCAGGTGCCCCCAAACCACTGAATTTTTAAAAATGTATGGGGGTTATGGGGCTCCTGTGTGACTTGTTGGTTAGGGATCTGATTCTTGATTTTGGCTCAGGTCATGATCACAGAGTTGTGAGATTGAGTTCTGCATTGCCCTCCAAGCTGAACATGGAGCCTGCTTAAGATTCTCTCTTTCCTTCTCTCTCTCTGCTCCCTCTTCACTCTTTCTCTCTCTCTCAAAAAAAAAAAAAAAAGTATAAAAAAAACAAAAACAAAACAAAAAAAAAATCACTCTTATTTTGAGAACCTATTTGAAACTCAGTTATACCAGAAAAAGATATTTGCAAAGATTAATTTTCCTCCAGATTATATTAAAAAAAAAAGGCATGGACATCAGATGCTTAGTCCCGTTCCTTCTGCAGGCTTTGATCACTTGTCTGGTGAATGATTGATGGGTCTGTGGTGGGCAGCTCGGGAGTTGTAAATCCTGTGGGATTTATCAGAGAGACTGGGCACACTTTTCCGGAGGGACTCCTGGATGCAGGTTTGCTGTGTTGCAGTTTTTCAGGTGGCTGAGGGGATTGTCTCTGAAGAGGCCAGGTGAAGAAAGCCGGGCTCCTGAGAAGGATCTTGCTGGCCTGTAAGACCAGCTGGACTCTGGTAGCAACAGACGAGGTGGTCTTGGCTTCTTGCTTGGCCTCTTGCTGTAGGTGGCTGAGGCTCCCCAGTGAAAGGATGCCCCAAAGCTGTAGGGTTCAGGAGGCCTTCAGGCCTCAATAGCAGGGTCCAGTATTGGACCTGCTTTGACCTGCTTTGAGGCCCTGCTGAAACCACGTGGGTATGGGGTTCTGTACAAGCTGGTGGCTGCCTTCCAGAAGAAGCTGAAGATTTCCATCTATCCCAACACCAAGTCCAGCTTCTAACCCACGAGCATCCCAAGGAAACACTGTAAAATTTCACCTACTTCTTTGTGTATGAAGGTGCTCTGCGTGTGGTCACTGTGATCCCGTTTGTTGCTTTCTTAGAACTTCTAGAAATTGTACGCCAAGGGGCCTTAAAGAAATATATCAGTGTTTTTCTTTTTGCCTCTGATCAGTGGGGTGCCAATGACTTGAAACCTTACTATCAACGGGCTGGTCCTTATGGGCTTGCTTGGATCAGGAATGTTGAGTAGCAAAACAATCCTGACTAGAATAGGGAAGATACTTGTGAAATCCACCTGAAAAGAGACTGTCTAGATTTTGATTAACTTTAACTTTTAGAAACTCTCAGGGCTGCCACATAACAATCTTGGTCTAGCTAAATAGTGCTCTGCTTTGATGTTGTGCAGTGCACAACCTGAGCAACTGTAAGCAGTGGCTTTTTGCTTAAAAAAGCACTCAGGAACAGTAAAATGGTTGTATTTGTTGGGTAGAGTGGATCACTAAGGCAGATAGATAATTAAGGTAGAAATTTGAGATGATGGACTCTCAGAATCTAGAAGAGTACTGGGGAGTCCATTTTCTCACCTTTTATTTATTTATTTATTTGTTTGTTTATTTTTAAAGATTTTATTTGACACAGAGAGAGAGAGATCACAAGTAGGCAGAGAGGCAGGCAGAGAGAGAGAGAGAGAGAGAGAGAGGAGGAAGCATGCTCCCCACCGAGTAGAGAGCCCGATGCGGGGCTTGATCCCAGGACCCTGGGATCATGACCTGAGCCGAAGGCAGAGGCTTTAACCCACTGAGCCACCGAGGCACCCCTATTTTCTCAGCTTTATAAACCTAGGTCAATTACCCTCAACTCTTTGATGGGTCCTGATAATGTTTTCTCATAACAGTATACAACTGATTACAAAGTTTAAGCAAATAAAACACTGGAGAAAAATCTCTCGCCTCCAGAAGTCTTCAAGGACTGCTGTGGTGGGACAGCTCTAGTTCCTTCTAATTTGTTACCTTTCTCATTGGACCCATGGATAGTCTAGCCTGTTTTTAAGTTAGAGCGATCCTTTATTCTTTACCACCTGGTTATTACACTTTCCATCTAGAATGTCCCCAGCAGGGCCTGAGTATCAGGGAAGGAATATCCCTGAGTCCCCATACCTGCATAATCAGGGAAAGCATATCCCTGAGTCCCCACACCTGCACCAGTTAAGATACAGTAAGCCCTCAGGGCTCGTGGGTGCAGTGTTTTTACAAAGGATCTGTTAACAGTTGGTGGCACTTTTATTTTTTAAAAATTTTTAAAGTTTTATTTATTTAATCTCTACACCCAATGTGGGGTTCAAATTCACAACTCCGAGATCAGGAGTTACATGCTCTGAGCCCACCAGGTGCTCCACAGTTGCTAATATTTTAAAGCAGGGCTTTGTTCCTTTCCATTTCTTTTCACCTCTTCTTTTTTTTCACTTGTATCTTAATTATTTAGTAGTACTTTTGAAGCATTAAAAAATTGAGGTATAGGGGCGCCAGGGTGGCTCAGCTGGTTAAGTGTCCAACTCTTGGTTTCAGCTCAGGTCATGACCTCAGGGTCGTGAGATCGAGTTCTGTGTCAGGCTCCACACTGAGCATGGAGTCAGCTTCAGATTCTCTTTCTACCTCTTCCTGTGCCCCACCCCTACCCCGCTTGCATGTGGACACTGTCTCTCTCAAAAAAATTGAGGTATAATTTATGTATATGAAATGCACCTATCTTATGTCGATCAACTTTGACAAAGGTATACACCTGTGTAGCTTATACTCCCATGAAGATATAGAGCATTTCTGTTACTATAGAAAGTTTCCTCCTGCCCCTTCCTCATTACCACCACCCCAGCCACCACAGATCTGATTTCTGTTTATCCTGGAGCCTCATATAAATGGAAACACACAGAGAGTGTTCCTTTGTGTCTGGCTCTTTCTTCAGTGTAGCATTTTGAGATTTATCTAGGTTGTGTACGTTTCACTAACCGATTCCCTTTTATTACTAAGGAGGGCGCTAGTGTGTGAACATCACGCCTTTTGTTTATCCATCTGCCTGCTGATGCTTGCTTGCACGGTTTCTGGTTTTTGGCTATTATGAATAAAGCTTCCATGAACACTCTTGTTTCAATTTCTTTTTAAAGATTTTATTTTTAAGTAATCTGTACACCCAATGTGGGACTCGAACCTACAACCCTGAGATCAAGTCACACATTCTCCCTACTGAGCCAGCCAGGTGCCTTCCCCCCACGGACGTTCTTATACAAGACTTTTTTGTGGACTTATATTTTCATGTCTCTTGGATAAATACCTAGGAATAGAATTTCTGTGTCTTAGAATAGATGTACATTTAACTTTTAAGAGAGTGCCAGTTTTCTGAAGTGTTTCTACCATTTTACACTCCTACTCAGCAATGTCATAGAGTTCCAGTTCCTCCACATTGTCACTAATATTTGGTGTTTAGTCTTATTTTAGCTAGTCTGCTTGGTCTCTTGATAATGCCCTTGACTGAGCTACCCTTCTCACTCATTCCTGAGTGCCTGGAAAGAAAAGTGCTTCTGTAGTTACAGATATGGCCCTTTGGGTCCCAACCTTGCGAGTACACTGGAGACGGTGGTAGGGATCAGGTAGATGGTTTTCTTTATCTGGAGTGTAGACCCTGCCACATTGCCCACTTCGGGTACTGCGTTTGCTCCTTGGTGGATGGAATCCACCTTCCCCTCTTGTCATTCAACCTCATGATTCACGCAGAGGCTTCAAGAACCTTGCTTCCCCTTGGACCATTTTAAGCACTAGTGGAGAAGAGAAGTTCTTCTTCTGTTTGAAAGTTTGCATTTCGTCTTTGTATCAGGCCCCCTCTGTTGTGTGTTCAAGAGGGAGGATTTCAAGAGCCCAGAGAGCAGAGAGACCCACAGGAACCGGACCCAGAAATGACCTTATTGCCTGGTGTGCCTATTGCTTATGTGTGAGACAAAGCAAGTAGCACTGATTACTTCTTGGACCCGACCTTCCATTTTCTGCCAGTTCCCAGGGCTAAAATCTGATGAGAGGAAGTTCTCTTGATGTTCAAATATCTGTTAGTCTTGAATGTGGTAAGATGGGACCACACTTTTCCCTGTGGCTGTTTCATGCTCTGATAGAGAAATTGGATTCACTCCCTCAGTCTGAAGTCAGCAGAATTTTAACCGTGGCCCACAAAAGCACTGGGTCATGCTGTGACGAGCACTGGGCAGTGTCTGGAAGTGTTTGGTCACTATCTGTCCACCTGAAACGAATATGCTACATAATTTATGCTGAAATTGTGCCTTCCGTGATAGCTGGTGCAGGGGCGTTGTCTTTTGAGCACCTTTACCAATTTTCCAGGTCCCTGGAGGTCGTTGTCACGAGTTTGGGCTGGCCAGCCCCACGCTGTCTCATCGTCAGGGCCCTCTGTAGCGCGGTCATTAACCTCTGCTGGGTGGAGGTGGTGTGTCTCTTGCTTGTTGAAGAACTGGGGGAAAAGAGGAGCCAGGCTGATGGCATCAGAGGGGAAGCATTTGGGGCACATTTGAAATTAAGGACCAGCAGAGCCAATTAGGGGAGCATTCTCTGCAGAGGAAGCAAGGGGAGTTGGGTGCTTTCAGGAGCTGCTGGTTCAGTAGCGCTCGGCCGAGGCCGGGGTTGGTCCTAACACCATGGGTATGAGGGGAGTAGGGGCTGGGCAGGCTGCCAGTGCACAGCGAACCCCGTGCCATTGGGAGCCTGGGTGCCAAGAGAAGCAGCGCCCGAGGAGTCTTGAGGCCCTGCACTCAACTTATCTCCTCTCCGCCCTTCCTCATCACCACACCACTGCACTGCCATGTCCCTCACACTGAAAGGGAAGCTGGAAGGGGGCCAAGAACCACAGCTGCCAGAGAGGCAGAGCAAAGCCCTGCATAGACTGTCGCTTTGCCCGCCTGCACAGGGATGCTCTGGCCGCCCTCTGGGGCTGGGGTGCCCCCAGTTGCCTCGCTGTCACTTCTGCGTGGAAAAGGACCCCCACAGAAATCATGCTCTTCACGCCCCGAGCCCGATGATGTCATTTGCAAAGCCCCTCCACCAGCGCTGGCCACGGGGACCATGGAAGCCTTCAGGGGAGTTGTGGCAGGAAGAAAGCGAGTGCTCTGAACCTCTTGTTGGGCTACACAAAAACCAGATCCCAGAAGACCCTCCCCTTTGTCGTTAAGCACACACATATGTACAAACGAAAAAAACAAAAACAAAAACAAAAACAAACCATAGTGGTGATAAAAAAACAAAAACAAAACCAAAAAACCCTCTAGGGAAACAGAATTCAGGACTTTCCTTCCCAAGCAGTGGTTGAATTATTTGAAATTGGTTCGGTCTCTAAGGAAGTGTAGCAGCCCCTTGTGTCTTGTTCTGAAACTCTTGATTGAAGGCAGCAGTGAATGAATGACTGTCTCTAAGTTGTTACACTGAGCACCTAACGTGCTGTGTCCTTAGGAAGATTGCCTTTCTTGCTCCACTCCATCCAAATCTGAGCGACAGACCGAGGCCCGGGGGTCTGAAGGTCTGGCTCCTCTCGAGTCTCAGAAACTCCAGCTTCGGGAGGATGAGGCTCTCCGCTGTGGAAAGGCTTAATTCCTTTTCTCTGGACATTTTTGGAAGGCTTTCTGCTTTTTTAATCTCTTGACTTCTTGTTTGTGACCAAGTTCACATTCCAGAGAGGGAAGCGGCCAATACGTGTGATTATTTCCTCTTGCACCAAGTGGAACTAAAAGAATGAACTTACTTCACTAGAAATAAATGTACCCTTTGGACCTTAAACCCAAATGAGTAAGCACGGTTGGTCTGGCCCCTCTGCCGTCTGTGCAGTAATTAAACACAGAATGAGAAAAAGATGTCAGAGGCATGCATTCCCAATCTTTTTTTAGACATAAGGCAGAAAAGAATAGACCAATTTTTTTTTTTTTTAAGATTCTTTTCGTCCTACACTCTGCCTTGGGCAGGGATGGCCACCAGGTGATGAGGAAAGACTAGGGTTTGGAGTGACTGGGTGCACATTCTGGCTTCCCGGTTCAAGAGTTGAGCAGTCCTAGACACATCCTTAACTTCTCTGACCACCAACTGAATGGGGAACTTGGAACACCAGAGAGTTAGCGCAAGGACTAAAAGAGACGTTGTATGTAGAGCCTTTAGCGTACGGGCCCACGCAGGGCAAACTCATGCTAAACGGGCTTTACAATCATCACGCTTATTTTAAGATGATTTAAGCCATTAACACAGAAACACTGGGAATGGCAGAGGGAATTCAGTGCCGGGCGGCTCAGTGCTCCGATGGCTGCTGTGCTAAAGACCTCACCTGTGTGTCCCGGGGCAACTGGGGGTAGGGTGTGTGGAGGCCATTGTCTCACCCTTGCTGTGACTCTCAGGTGACCTCTTCAGCGTCCCGGACTTCCCGTTCCTGTATTTCTACAGATTCCATGGCAGCTGCTGTGCCAGGTAAGCTTAATGCATAACCCCCTGGCCCTATTAATTTGTCTGGGGCTGTACTAGTGGTATCTTCGTCAAGTCCAGGGTCACAGCCAGTTATCCAGATGAGGGGCAGAAGAGAGCAGTGGCCAGGCAGGAAGCAGCCCCCTCAGTCATCCACGGGTTGTCATCAACGTCCTTAGGTGCTCAGGGCTGGATTGGGGCCTGGAGGACCTATGTTCTGTGGAAGTTCCTTGGCCAGAGCAATGCTTTCCAAACTTGCAGAAGAGCTGAGAACCCTGCACTGTTTTTCTCTCCACAAGCCATTCCTAAACAGCACTTCAGTGTATAAAATGATGCATCAGATTCAGTTCAAGGGAGGATTTGGGGCCAGAATTACACCCGCTCAGCTTCCTCTGTGGCCCTTGCCTTGTCCCTAAAGGGCGGCCTCCCCAAAACCTTGACTGAATCCTAAGACCCTGAGAAACAGGTTTTGGAAGCCAGTGACGGGGAGACATCTAGATGACAAAGTATGTGGCCTTGGGTGGTACATCCCAGTAGGATGGGTACGTATAGATGGAGTTCAGACCTGCCCTCTCCCTACTTTTTTGCCATGAGTCCCATGTTGCTTGACTTTCTCCTGCTGAGAAATGGAAAGGCTGGATAGCCACGCGGTATGGGTTCTGCTGGGGGGGAAGCCCAGTGTTGGGTTGGATGCCAGCCTTGCTGCTTGCTAGTGTGTTTGTTCTTTGGGTGAGCTGTCATTCTCCCAAGCCTTGGCTGAGTTTCCTCATCTGTAAAGTGGAAAGATAGTATCACTCCCGGTGATCGCATATACTAAATAAGGCGAGTAAACCCTGAGCACCTCGCCTGGCCCGGGAGACGATGGCCGTTACTGTCCTTCTCAGCTTGACTGTAATTAGCTCAAGTGTCCATAGACCATGAGCGATGGCTAAGCTAGACCACTTCACATGTAAAAGCTTGTACCTTGTGAGGCAGGGATTCCTTGCAGAGACTAGGAGCTGGTGTGCGGCTATGTCCTGTTTCTGATAGGGGTGTGTTAGAACAACAACAACAAAAATCAATATTGTACAGTTTGCTTTTGCCTTTGAGCCTCAGAATGACTTACTTGTCATCCTCAGCTAACTTTCAGGAAAATACTGACAGAATTCATCTTTCCAGTTCCTATCAGTTTGGTCAGACCTTGTCAGCTGCCCATTAGCTGGGATCAGGTGGCGTGAGTGTTCGTGCTGCTCCCATGTCCGTGGACTTGTTTCTCTCTGGGTCCGGTCTTCTGGCAGCACCAGCAAACACAGTGCAGAGGGGAGGGCAACCGCCATGCGGTTCGTTGAAACAGCAACACGGTTCCTAGCCTGGTGATGCTGGCTTTGTAGGGTGATAGTCTGGCCCCATTTCTGCCCCTTTTAATCTGCATCTTTCTTACAACCCAGCATGAACAATCAGGGTTTTACTTAAAAGATTTGGGAATCTTTGCTTGAATTGATATGAAACTATTATGTTCTCCCCACTCCCACCCGGTTGCAGTGTGTATCCGTTTTCCTGTCATCTTACGATTCATCTACTTCCATATCTCAGACTAAGTGTTGTCACCTTCGGAGGCCCTGGAGGAACTCAGAAGGAGTCATGGAGGCCTGGGGGGGATGGTGGTAGCCATGACCCAGAGACACATTAATGGGGAGCCCACGATCTTTTACTTCTGGGATCCTCCCATTGCTTTTAAGGTCGGCCTCTGTGGTGAGGTGTAGAAGAGCTGAGTGTGGAAGGAGACAGAGAGGGACCCATGAGTAATTTGGAAATGATTCACAGTCATACCAGTCAAAGGATGGGAAGGGGTCGTGGATACTTTCCCAAGCGTGTTAGGCATGGGAGTGGCTCTTTCTAGCAGAGTCTGTGCTAAGGGGAAAAGGGACGTGGAATCTTGCCCTTCCTCTGGCAAGATTCCACATCCCTTTTCCTGCAAAGTTGTTTCCTTCCTTGGGGCAGGGGTGACGCCAGCAGGAGGAGCCCTGGAGCGCTGGCCGCCTTATTTTCCACTGCCAACCTCACAGTGGCCGTGGGCACCTTCAGCATCGCTCTCTGTCTTTGTGTCAAGAACGGATCTTCATGGCGAAGTTTGAACCTTCTTACAGTGTAGAACCTTTGAAAGAGCCAGGAAACATGGATGCTGATAGGCTAGGGAGGCTTTCTGTTCTGAAAAGTCTGATTTCCCTCAGATAGGATGAGGACCACTTTGCTTATTCTTGCTTCAACACAGAACCTGAGGCAAGAAAAAAGGGACAAGAGAAGGATGAGTCAAGGTCATGAGGGTCAGTGGGCACAGCCCAGGTCACTCAGTTTTTAGCCTGCTGCTTACCCACTAGACCTCCTTGCTTTTTGGGTGTGAATGACTGACCATCTTCGTGCATAGCTGCCCAGCCTCCCATGATGGCAGACACAAATCTGAACCAACTTTGCAGGTCATCAGGGCCCAACAGGCTGAAATATACACAAGGGAGCCCTCATCCCTGTCCTTGGTCCTGCCCCAGGAATGTGGCTGTGAACTAATCTAATGTAATGAAGAGAAGGCACACATTTCCATGAAATTTGATCTTACAGGTGTTTAATTCCATCCGGCCTGCTTCTGAATACACCTGTCAAACATCTGTGTCCTAGGCACCATGTCAAACATCTGTGGCCAAGGCACCATGTTTGGCTCTGTTGGGGAAAACACAGAGAAGCCCAAGATTGGGGCCTGCCCTCTCAGAGCTTATGACCTGAGTGGGGCCCACAGCTGTGTCTATAATAAATGTGAGATAACAGGGTGGCTTTTGAAACCCTGAGGTACAAATGAGCTATAGCTCATAGGACCTGTCTCTGTGGTTTGGGGTACAACTGCAGTCATATCTCTTGCTTTTCGATTTCTGGTAAGTCACACTCAAGCCCCCAGGTGCATATATTTACAGGAAGTCAACCTCTATCATGGCGTCTCTCTGTTGCACTCTCTTCCCCAATTGCCAAGCCTCCAAATGCAAGGAAGAGTGACCATTCTGGTAGAGTGTCCTTCGCTTTGTCCTTGACCACACAGTGATGCATTCAGAAGTGGTTCCAGCACAGGCCACTACTTCCTGGTCCACTGCTGTGCCAATGCCTCGCTGCTCCCGATCTCTAGAACTCCCCATGGGGCATGGTCTCTCAGGTCACACACGTGGGCTTAGGCATCATTCCCAAAGGATTACATCTGCGTAGCTTAGCCTGGTTTGGGGGACATTTGCTCCTGGAGCCAGCCCTCCCCTTCAGATTCTCTTACCTTGAACCCAGGAGTCGGTCCAGACCCTCTGTCCCCATATGGTGAGTTTCGCTTCGAAAGTCTTTTTCTGGCAGTTTGTTTTGCTTGAAAAAAGTTGAAGCTCTACCTTGGCAAGCACTATGCTCCAGAAATAATATGGAAGGGAGCAGGAGGTATCGTCCACCACGCTTTTCTTCTTTCATGATTTAGTCAGAGACTTCCCAAGTTTCTGTACTCTCTCCCTCCCTCCCCCACTGCCCACTACCCAGTGGAACTCTCTTATCATAGCTCCTTAAAAAATTAGAGCTTCCTGGGTTTTTAAATGCAGAGATCACTAGAAAACCCAGATGAAATACAGGTTCTGTAGTAATTAGAAACTGGTAAAATGTAAGAGAAAATAGCTGTTGGCTACAGGAAGACAAGTCTCACTAACAAAAGAATATTTTCTCCTTCCAGTGGATTGTTAGGATTCTTTCTCATGCTCAGCACAGTGAAGCTGAAAAGCCTTATGGCCCCAGGGCAGTGTGCAGCCTGGATTTTCTTTGCTAAGGTAAGAAAGAGGGAAGGGGCGGGGGATTGATCTCAGGAGCCTTGATGTTCAGTGTTCTTGGAACATGTGTGATATCATGTGTGATCTTCGTGAAGTCACTTCCAGTCATGGGCCCTGAGCCTGAACCTTCAGTCATTCTGATGACAATTTCCAAGGTCCTCTGCCTATTATATCAGCATAATCTTTATTGCACACCTGGAAGGGATAATCTCTTCATCTTCCCTGAGCCTTAATTTCCCCCATCTGAACATGAGAGGTTTTGCCCACAGAAATCTCTAAGTCTTCTCCAATTCTTACGAGACTGGATTCCTGGATACGTGAGGTAGGTCTTCTCTTCCTTCCTCGGGGCTGTGAGGGTGTCCAGAGCCCATGTGGTTTGCTTGATAGGTCTCAGTCTGTCAGGGATGGTAGAGAAAGGAAAACAGACAAATGGCCAGGTAGGAGGACTTTGATGAAGCCTTTGGACAACAGACTATTATAAGAATGCCCGCTGTATATCTGATGATTATGGCTGAGACATAAGATAGAGAGGTGGGAAAATAAGGAGCAGAAAAAGCACCTGTGGGATGCTCAATCGTGACTGAAATACTTTGGGACTAACTTTTTTCTAGCGCAGCATTTCATTTCTCTTGTGTGTGTGAAGGAGTCGAGTTGCAAAGCCCTACGTGCTGCTTCTGAGAAATGAGATTTCTTCTTTTTAAAAAAAAAATTAATTTATTTATTTATTGGAGAGAGAGAGAGAGAGAACACACACAAGCCAGGGGAGCAGCAGGCAGAGGGAGAGAGAGAAGCAGGCTCCCTGCTGAGCAGGGAGCCCGATGCAGGACTCCACCTCAGGACCCTGGGATCATGACCTGAGCCAAAGGCAGATGCTTAACTGACTGAGCCACCCAGGTGTCCCGAGAAAGGAGATTTCTTAATTTAACCTAATGAAATAATCATTTAAGGTCATACCTTTAGTCATCTCTTTTTTTCCTCAGAAAACAAAACCAAACATTTTTCTTCAAAAACAACATTTCACAGTAATATTTTCACCTCCATAGATCTGCTTTTTAGCTGCAGTAATAACTCTAATTACAGTAAAATGTAAAGAGTGGTTGAGAGACTGACTTCCAGCATGACGGAATGAGGAGGTTGACAAATCCTCCTCCCCAAAAGTAACTGGACAGCTGGAAAAAGATTGTCAAAAATATCCATTTCAGCTCTCTAAAAATTGACGAAAGGCATACAACAAACTGAGAAAGCAAGCATTTGTTCATGAAAACTGCAAAACTTTGGGTAGGAACAACATGAGCCGGTCTGTGGCGGTCTTCTCTCAGGTCGCTTCCATTCACTCCTCCCCAGCTCTGTCAGTGTGATATTTCAACCAGATGGGGCAGGCTGTGAAAACCAGCAGCCTTGCTGCCGCTTCCAGAATACTCTATTTGGCGTATTTTTAGTTAAAGCCGCCATTGTCAGTGGTAACTCAGTAAGAAGAGCCAGTAACTCCACCATCTTGAGTTTCCAGTCCTCTTGGGGGCAAGAAATGGACCAGTGGTCTAGCTGAGGACTAAATAGGTAGGTGGGGGAGGTGAGATAGCCAGCACAGGGGTTTGATAGCTCTCCATGTGTCCCAGATTGACCGTAGTCTGTGTGCACGAGCGGCAGAGATGGAGTGTGCCCAAAACACCCACATGTCCCTGGCCAGCAGAGCCTGCATGCACACGCAGGAGATGGGAGAGAGCCAGCAAAAGCTGGGGCAGACAGGAAAAACTTCAGCCTGAAGTTTGAGTGTGCTCCCCAGCCCACACACAGTCAGAAGCAGAGAGAAGAAGTCTTTCTGGCTGAAAGTGTTTGAATAAAACCTCCAACTAGTCTTTGCTAGAACACTAAGCTATGCAGACATGGGGATGACTTCTAGAAAGCCAGAAAAAGCTTAAAAATAAAAAGAAGGGGGAAAAAACTGAGTAAAGGACATTAGCAACTCTACCTTATATGGGAGACTAATTTCATAGACTTAGTCCAGGGAAATTACTAAACAAGCAAAATAATACCAATGATGATGCACTGAGAAAAGTCAGAATCCAAAGTTGCTATCCTATATTATCTAAAATGTCCAATACTCAAAAATGAAAAAGTTAGGGGCAGTCAAAGAAACAAGAAAGCATGATCCATACACAGGAAAAAAGCAGTTAATAGGAACTATGTCTAAGTGTCCTCTGATGTAGGACTTAGCAGAAAAAGACTACAAAGCAGATATTTACACTTAGAGATCTAAATTAAAAGAAAGACTCAATGAATACAGGCTCTTAATAAAGAGCTAGAGATGATTTAAAAAAAAAAAAAAAAAAGAGAGAGAGCCCCAAGTAGAAATTCTGGAGTTGAGAAATACAATAACTAAAATGAAATGAAATGAAAAAGTCCCTGGAGGTACTCAATAACAGATTTATTTACTTTTTAAATATATATATTTTTAAAGATTTTATTTATTTATTTAAGAGAGACAGAGAATATGAGACGGGAGAAGGTCAGAGAGAGAAGCAGACTCCCTGCAGAGCTGGGAGCCTGATGCGGGACTCGATCCTGGGACTCTGGGATGATGACCTGAGCTGAAGGAAGTTGCTTAACCAACTGAGTCACCCAGGCACCCTCAATAACAGATTTAAATGGCAGAAGGAAAAATATGTGAACTGGAAGGTGGAGCAAAATAAATTATTCAATCTAAAGAGCAAAGATTTTTTAATAATTGAAGAATTACGAACAGAGGTTCAGAGACCTGTGAGACAACATCAAGCATATCAACATATGTGTTACGAGAGTTCCAGAGGAAGAGAAAACTGATGTAGAAAAAAAATATATGATCAGTGGATGACTTATCAAAAACTATGGAAACTCGAAGGCAATAGGATAACCTATCCAACACGCTGAAAGAAAAATCTGTCAACCAGGAATTCTACATATAGCAAAACTGTCCTTCAAATATGAATGAGAAATAAAGACATTCCCAGGTAAAGACTAAGAGATTTATTGCTAGCTGCTGTATCAGTAGTTATATTAAATGTGAACAGACTAAATATCCCACTCAAAAAGCAAAGATTGTCAGACTTGATAAAAAAGCAAGATGCACCTGTATGGTGTCTGCCAAGGACACACCTTAGGGATGCCTGCGTGGCTCAGTCTGTTAAATGCCTGCCTTTGGCTCAGGTCACAGCCCCGGGATCCTGGGATCGAGTCCCACATCGGGCTCCTTGCTTGGCGGGGAGCCTGCTTCTTCCTCTGCCTGCTTGTGCACTCTCTCTCTCTTTCCCTGCTTGTGCACTCTCTCTCTTTGACAAATAAATAAAATCTTTAAAAATTAAATTAAAAAAAAAAAAGATACACCTTAGATTCAAAGACATAAATAGGATAAAAGTAAAAGGATAGAAAAACATAACCATGCAAACAGTAGCTTATTAGCAAGCTAGCTGGAGTGACTATATTAAAATCAGACAAAATAGACTTTATGACAAGAAATATTACTAGGGAAAAACAAAGACATTTATTAATGATAAAAGCATTGGTACACTAGAAAGAAATGACATTTATAAATGTATGCACCTAACGACAGCACCCCACATATATGAAGCAAAAAGTGACAAAATAGAAAGAAGAAATAAATTATTCAACAATAATAGAGATGCCAATCCTGCACTCTCAAAGGTGGTAGAAAAGCAAGGATATAGAAGCTACAGATGACTTGAACAATACTATCAACGAGCTTGTCATAACGAACATGTGCTACTCTACCCATTGACTGCAGAGAACACATTCTTCTCAAACACACGTGACACTTTCTTCAGGATAGATATTATGCTTGGGTCACAGAACAAGCCTCAGTAAATTTAAAAAAGATTGAAATAATGTAGACTATGTTCTTTGGCCACAGTAGAATTATATCAGAAATTTACAACAGAATAAAAATCTAGGAAAATACCCCATTTATTTGGAAATTAAATAACATACCTCTAAATAGCTCATGGGGCAAAGATGATGTCACAAGGGAAAATAAAAGTATTTTGAACCAAATGAAAATAAAACCACACAATATGTCAAAATTTATGGGCTACAATTATAAAGTAGTAGTCAGAGGGAAATTCATAGCTGTAAACACCCCTATCAGAAAAAAGAAAAGTCTCAAATTGTAATCTGAGCTTCTACCTTAAGAAACTAGAAAAAGAGCAAATTAAACCCATAGCAAGCAGTAGGAAGGATATGTTAAAGTTTAAAGTAGAAATTAGGGACATGTGGGTGGCTCAGTGGGTTAAGCCTATGCCTTCAGCTCAGATCATGATCTCAGCGTCCTGGGATCGAGCCCCGCATTGGGCTCTCTGCTCAGCAGGGAGCCTGCTTCCCCCTCTCTCTGCCTGCCTTTCTGCCTATTTGTGATCTCTCTCTCTGTGTGTCAAATAAATAAATAAAAATCTTTAAAAAAAAATTTAAAAAGTAGAAATTAATGAAATACAAAACAGAAAAACAAGGAAAATCAGTGTTGGTTCCCTGAAAACAGCAACAAAATTGACAAGTCTGTAGCCAGAATGACTAGGTAAATGAGAAAGAAGATTCTATTTATTAAGATTAGAAATGAAATGAGGAACATTCACTACTGATTCTACAGAAACTAAAAGTATTTATTATGAGTAACTTTCTTATTATTTATTATGAGTAACTTTCTTCATTCATATTATGCCAGCAAATCAGACAGTTTAGAGAAATGGACAAATTCCCAGAAGGTACAAACTGGGAAAATTGACTCAAGAATAAATAGAAAATCCGAAAAAACTCCTCTAACAAGTAAATAAATGTCAGTAGTAATTAAAAATCTTTCCACACAGAAAAGCTCAGACCCAATAGGCTTTGCTGATGAATTCTATCAAATATTTTTAAATGAAATATTTTTTCTTTACAAATTCTTTTAGAAAGCAGAGGAAAGAGAATATCACCCAATTTATTCTATAAGGTGAGTTACCTGGATACTAACTCCA